GGTGGGCACGCCTATGGGCTAAGATAGAGTGGGGTGGAAGGGGAGAGACTCTATAGCAGGGATGGAGTGAGGAGGGCAGGGATTGAGTGGGGTGGGCAGGGCTCGATAGCAGGGATCGAGTGGGGAGGGCATGGCTGTGGGCTGGGACTGAGTGGGGTAAGCAAGGGCCTCAGCAGCAGCGATCGAGTATAGAGGGCAGGGCTGTGGGCTGGGATCAAGTGGGATGAGCAAGGGCATGGCTATGAGCTGGGGTCGAGTCGGGTGGGAAATGGGCTCACTAGCAGGGATCAAGTGGGGTGGGCAAGGCCGTGGGACAGAACTGAGCAGGGTAGCAGGGGCTGCATAGCAGGGATGGAGTGGGTCGGGGCCTGCCCTGGCAAGGCAAGTGCAAGGAGGTTCAGAGCCCACGCTGGGGCAGGAACCGGGCAGGCTGGGGATGCTGGCAGGACTGGTTGTGTCCCATCAGTGATGGGCTCCCAGGAAGCTGAAACGGGGCACTGTGCTTTGGGTCCAGGTGTGCCAGGAGCAGGCGGGTCCTTGAGGAAAAATACTCTCTGCTCCCTCGTGTCAGGTACAGATCTGATCCACCCATCGTTGCATCTCCCGTGCTGCTGTGCAGCCCAAGAGAGTTTGACTGAGACCTGCCCACGCTCCTTAATTGCTGTTTCGGGAAACCCAGCCAGGGAGATGGACAGCTGGAGGCAGCACTGTGGCTTACCTCAGCACAGCCCCAGTGAGAGTGCGGACTAACGAACACTTCCCATGCTGAATCATTACTGTCTGCATTGATGAGTAGCGTAAGAGACGTTTATGGAGGATAGAAGGGTTGGTTACAAAACCAAATCCTTCTAGTGTAGACATGTTTCCTGGCCCTGGGTATCAATTCCCAAGATCTGGAGCACATCTATTTGTATTGTAAAATACTATCGTATCCAAATGCAATTTTTATTCTTGAGTTGTGTGACATGATAATGACTATGTAAATGATGATAAATCATGTTTGGCACCTGTTTTATAGGTATATCCTTAATGCATACGATAGCTGAGATAAGCTTAAGCAATAGCTGTCTTGCTTTAGTCCTTTTCAGGACATGTTGTATATATTCAGATGACCACAATGAAACAAGAGGCTGGTTCCATGTCTGCTGTCATTAGGGTGGAGATTCTTCCCCGTTACTTGCTCCTACCATGTATCACTGATGTGTGATGCTAAAGCTGGTTCACTTGAATATGTGGAAATCACATTTGAGCAAAGAAGGCCAAAGTGAACTGAAAGCAACAGTGCTCATCTCAAGCTTTGTTCACAGTTCTGAAACAGGAGAGAGAATAAGTCAGAAGTGCGATGGTTGTTAGGATCTTGCTCCTTTTCAATGTGAAAATCACGCAAATATTAATGAGAACTAACAATTTAAAGAATATAGTGTTCTTTCTTTTGAGAGAAACAAATGGAGACAAGAAATCATATTAGAAGACCATGTTTCTCAATGCATTCTTCTTTTTAGAAAAAACATTGTCTGCTGTTTTGTTTTTCTTTTTTTAAAGATTGCTGCTGAGAAGAATGACAGCTGGCTCTGTCTCAGTCCCTCAGGTCATACCACTTCGAATCCCTCTTCCTGGGAAGGCTAAACATGAAATAGACACAAACACTCTCGTAGAAATAAAATCAGGTATGAGTAAGAGCTTTGACTCTGTAAAACTTTTTCTCATGTGTTTGTTTCAATCTTTTAGCCTCTATAGTTCTGTTTGCATTTGATTATGATTTTTATGAGTGCACATTTAATTAAGGTACTTATAAAATTAACCAACATGTTTTAATACACTCAATATACTTGCACTTAGTTTTATGCATTCAAAAAGTATTATTGACATATGAGTTATTTCATATATGTTAGCAGTCTTAATTACTTCCAAGATGAAGCTCTTGAGCTGTTGCATTTCACTTTGACTGAAGAAACAGTGCTTGAAAGTATCATGTGCCAGAACCACCCCAAAGGTTTTCCTTACAATTTTTGAAATATCACATTTCACCATGGGAGAAAATATCTTTTCTGTCATTGGAATGGACAACCTGTTCAATATTTCCATACAAAACCATTGCACAGCTACTATATGAAGAGAAATATTGCTTATAGTGAAATTCCGTTTGTTGAGCAACTAATTTTTCATGGAAGAAACAGTTTTGGTCCCAAACATTCAGCCATTTATGGAACTACTTTGTTTTGTTTATGTGAGAAAAATTAAGGACAGTAGTGAGTACTTTGAAGTGTAGAACTTGTTTTTCACAGGGTGAATACAGTTTGGCTAATTACTTCCTCTGTGTCTTTCAGATACACCTGAGGTCTCTATTTATTACACTTTAGATGGAAGTAAACCAGAACTCATTAGGAAACCTGGCTATGGAGAGCATAACACCTTTAAGTATAAGGGTCCTATCATATTACCTGTTGGGAAAATAACGATCAAGGCACTGGCAGTTACAAAGTAAGTATCCTGTTTTACTCTAGTCATATTTTGGCAACGGACAGGTATCCCAGTCACGGCTTGGAGCCATGTTGTTTAAAGTGCTCCGTACCTCGTGAATGAGAGACGCCCGTTTCCCCATCCAGTTTGCAATCTAAGGGATCTTTATGGGTTGCATTGACTTCACTTTCTCATAATGCTTTTTACCCATCAAGTGTTTGTGTGGTTGGATTACCTTTTGGAAGTCTGTCTCCTGGGCTGTGGATGTAGACAGGTGATCTGTAGAGGCTGTGGGTGAGACACTAACAGAATATGCTATACTTAGAGCTCATCCTTTTGAACGTGATGATCAGAAATACCAGAGAAACTAGTATGGTGTTTGCTGGGGTCATCCAGTGATTCAGCAGATTTATAGAAGCTGGTCTTCCCAGGAATTTGCTTTGTTTCTCCCAAAGGAGTATAGAATGCTAAACCTCACAGCTTAAGTACAATGTTATATGCACAAGGGTAAAGTAAAAATACAATATATATAGAAAGAAAACTGGATTTTGCTGAACAGCCACTGACTTTCCCCAAACTACCTTCATGCTTAGACACAGAGAGGACACATGAATTCTCTGTCCCTACCCTGTTGCATTATGTTTTCTTTCCAAGGGAGCAGAAACTTCCACTCTGGTTGGGAATTTGTGCTTGCTGTTCCCTGCTATCAGCACCTGCAGGTAGCCTTTGCTTGTGTCTGTGCAGGAACATGTAAAACCTAGGCCTATATGTATTTTCTGATGTCGCTACCTAGATTAACACTTGTTTCCAGTATGTTTTTATTAGGACGTTTTCAGGTGTGATAAATAGGTGCTCTAGAATGACAATAAATCCTAAATGAATGGTTTGGACTTTACAACAATTTCAGTGTTCAGCTGTAATTGAATAGATAGTAAAGAATGACAGTTGTTTTATCAAATAAATAGTGTGCTACCTGCTGCTTGACTAGGAAAATGAATATGGTATTATGAATGGAAGAAAAATCTTGCTCTCCTCTATTTTCTGCAACACTGGCATACTCTAGTTGCCCCAGAAAGCAGACACAAGAGCATCAAGAGTTTTACATGTAAAAGATGTTGAGTGACTAAAGTATCCATAAATTTTATTGGGAACTTCTTATCCTGCACATTTTAAACTTAAAAAACCCAAACCAAACCAAAACCCAAAAACCAAACGAAAGCAGTGGTTCCTGAGAGTATTGCCCAGGATTATATTTATCAACCAAAATGGTGATTTGCAAGCTTGGAAGAGATGTTCCAGCAAATGAGCCATGTTCATCAGTGATTGACTTGTTGCTGCGCATGGGTTTGTGGCATGTATATAGCTCTGTGAACATTGATTTTCAGGGACTGCAGGGAGAGTACAGTTGTAACAAAGGTGTTTCTGGTAGAGTACAAGCAACCAAACATCCTTTTCTCTCTTGAAGACGATGACAAGAATTTCCTAAAAGATATTGCCACACAGGTAACTTTTAGCAACTGTAACCCCTTGTGTGAATATAAAATGCTGTATGTATGACATTTCTTATGACATCAAACCTTGACTGACTATCCTTTCAATATATTTTATTTCTCTGTTGCCCATTTTGCTGCCTTGGTCCTTTTTGTAATATTAAAATTTCAAAGGGACACTTTTTTTTTAAATTATTATTTTCACTGTTTTTTTATGACCAATTCAGATCAAATATTTTAAAAATGTATTTATGATTTAAGGTTTTCAAATGCTTGCATCAAAACTAAATACCTCAACCATGTACTTTTAAAATCATAACAAAAAACTATAGCAAGAGAGGATTAGAGCAAAACCAAAAGTTTAATTTAGAATTAAAATTAAATTACTTTTTAGGAGAGGGAAGGTGGAATGTTTACTACAAAACCAAAGAAGAATGGAGTGAATATGGAAATCAAGCCTGCCTGGAGTGAAGCACCCCAAGATTTTCAAGGTGTAATACTACTTCATAAAACTGAAATAGACTTCTGTCTTAGCTGAAAATAATGTAAAGTTTTCCTCTTATATCACTGGCAAAATATGGGTAATTTTAAAATGATCTCAGAAGACAGAACATCCTCTGGGAATTCCAATTTCCATTGCTCAACACTGCAAATAGAGAACAAAAATTACCTTCCATACATTTCACATTACCTGTTAAAAACATATTAAAATGTCATTCATTTCTCAGCAACACAACAAGGCCGAGTCTATATTTCCCTTTGTGCCAGAAAATGCTGTTAAATTGATGGGATTGCAAATCCTTTACAGAGTCTTTTACTGATATTTGCTTGCAGTAAGATTCCAAGCTAAATACACAAAGCAGAAATGAAAGCTTGACCCAGATTTTCTCTATAGATAAAGCCTGTTATTCCATGGTAACGGCAATGGGACTGTTTAAGAGCAGCGAATCGTATTAGTGTTTACTCATTAATTTACTCTTAGGAGCTGGGGTTTTTTTTAGCATGCAGGAAGGAAGAAAACAATAAACAGAGAAAAAATACAAGAGTAAGATCTTTCAGAGAGGAATGAGGTTTCTTCTAGTTTAATTCCTGTAATTCCATGCAGTTTATTTGAACCCAAAATCTGGATGTCAAATACATTTTTACATATGCTTAACTTTTGGAATCTAAAGTGTGAGTATGTAATATTTGTGTTAAGATGTGTGTTAATTGCATGAAGTGAATGACAGTGGAATAACAGGATTGTAATTTTAGACTTGGAAACAGAAAGAAAGACTTCTCACAGGTCCCTCCAAGGACCACAGCTCCTTGCCAGTCATTTGGAAACAAGAAAGTATGGGGAGGAATCCACCTCAGCACTACCAATAGAGTGGTTACAGGTAAGCAAAGGGGTGTTGCGGAAAGCTATAAAAGGCTGTCATCAGAACTGAGCTCTAAAAAAATTAAGGTGTGAAGATTTGTGATCATTCTCATATAATCTCTCAGAAATTAATGCCTTTGGCTGTATTATACAGTACTAATTTAAATTTACTGGTAATGACACACTGGAATAGGAATGCCCACAGCAGTACACAGTTATCAGTAAGCACAAAACCAGGCAGAGCAAATTAACAATGCCTGAATACCTACTAAATCTTTTCTAACACATTACTGAATCTGCAATTAGCAAATAATTGTTGATATATGGTGGCAAGTTGATATTTAAAACTTAATATTCAGTAATGCTGTCTTGGCAGTAAATAGCAAGAAATTGATTTATTTTTACTGGAAGAAGTTGTGGGTCCTTAATGCAGCTAATGGGGGAATCAAGTGTAGTAGATATTCCTTAAAGCAATGCATTTCAATGCAGTTTGTCTCAAATAACACCTTTAGCTGATTTTGCTACTTTTATATGTATTTTGCAAATATTCACTTATTAAGGCTAAAGAATTACCTTTCTTTTAGTTGGCTAGTTCTTCTGCAGTGACTAGCCGGAAAAGCTTAGCAAGCACACAGATATCAAGGATCAGGAGGGAAACATATTTCCTCAGGTAAGTGACTTCTCCTCTTAACATTTTTGTCCTTGGAAAGTAACTGAGCAATTGCCTTTTGCAGCTGAGTTGATAATACTGTGGGGATCTATAAAAATGAGGAAAGCAAAGACAGACACTGGCTCATAACTAGAGATATGATCTAGGTAGGGCTTTGAAAATTCTTTCTCTTACATGCAGTTTTATTTATATTTCCCCATACATAGTTATCAATAATCTTATCATCCTTTAAAAAAAAATTTCATAACGCCTGTAGGATCAGAGGAAAATCTGTCTTTTTGTATTACAGTACAACCCCTACTGCTGTAGGTGAAAACTGCTCACTGAAGTAGCCTCACAGAATGCTAATGCATATCTGTACTGAAAAGGTTATGTGATCTACACGAGCAGCTCCCCACGGTGCAGCAGTGAGGCCTGATATAGGTGGCATGTCAGGAGACTTGTTTACCTCACATGGTGAGGAAGAAAGTATGAAACTCCATTGCAGCCAGAGAGCTTTCTACCTTGCAAAGCTGTTTAGAGTTCAGAACGCTGAGGCACGGTCTAATGGACCACCATAGCTTGGAAACCACAACTGAGAAATCAGTGGCCCAAGTCCTGTCACAACAAGTTCCAGATTATTGATTGTTATGCAGCAGTACAATACCAAAACAAGATCAGACAGTTTTGCTGAGTTGCAGTAAACTTGCTCTTATTTTCAGATGTGCACGCTGTTCTGCACCTCGCCTGTCTGACCCCCTGGCTCACTTCTGTCAGGAATGTGGATCTCCTATCCCACCTGTGCCAGTACATCGCTTCCCACCTCCTGAAGGAGCGCAGGTCAGCAAAACATCATAGCAATCAACAAATCAGAGAAAACAACTTCCTCAGCAAATTACATTCAATGCTGACATTAGTCACACTTTCATTTGGGAAGTTCAATTCTGACTGGCCTATTTTGTTCAATACCTTTAGCAGTGGACCCAATGTAATTCTTAAATGATGAGCAAAATTAACCATAGATTGCTTCAAGTGCCATACATTTTAATAAGGATAACAATGAAAAAGTAAACTGTGTTTTATTTGCTTGTGTCAGGAAACATTACTAAATTCAGATTCCTCCTCATCCTGCAACAACAACCACAGCATCTTGGCATCGAGGTTAGTAGGTCGAGGGAAGTGATTCTCCACTTCCACTCCCATGAGACCGCACCTGCAGTACTGTGTGCAGCGCTGGGGCCCCCAGCATAAGAAAGATGTGGACATCTTGGAGCAGGTCTGGAGAAGGGCCATGAAGATGATCAGGGGGCTGGAGCATCTCCCCTACAAGGACAGGCTGAGAGAGTTGGGGTTGTTCAGCCTGGAGAAGAGAAAGCTCCAGGGAGACCTTGTAGTGGCCTTCCAGTACTTAAAGGGGGCCCGCAGGAAAGATGGGGAGGGACTCTTGATCAGGGAGGGTAGTGATAGGACAAGGGGTAACGGTTTTAAACTGAAAGAGGGGAGATTTAGATCAGATATTAGGAAGAAGCCCTTTACTGTGAGGGTGGTGAGGCACTGGCACAGGTTGCCCAGAGAAGCTGTGGCTGCCCCCTCCCTGGCAGGAGGAGGCATCCCTCAAGGCCAGGTTGGATGGGGCTTTGAGCAACCTGGTCTGGTGGAAGGTGTCCCTGTCCATGGTAGGGGGGGGGCAACTAGATGGTCTTGACTGTGATTCTGTGGTCTTCAGAACTTGCCAGTGCTAAATCATGCAGTTAGTTAGTTAGTAACTAGTGCTTATGTCATGGCTGTAGAATATCTATCTAATATGCCTGAAACCTTAAACAGTGGCATGTGTGGGCATATGTAAGAGTACTTAGTTTTTACAGTGATACAGTAACTGTCTTCTCTAAGCTCTTTCCAAGAGAGAATAGCCTGATCTAACAAGTCAATGATGTGGGGGTTTTTTTTCCTATATCATCAGTAAGATATCTTGTCTGGGGCAATGCTGTAGTTTCAAGTGATGACTGAGAATATTCACCACTTCTTTAGATTAGGAGACTTTCAACTACCTGCGCACATTTTATAGCAGCATTTTAATTCTACTGAAAATTAGCTTAGTACCTTTCTGGCATATTTTTAGTAGTCAGTAAAGCGTTCTTTTTTCCAGCTGTCTTCATGTTTTCTCAGTAGCCTTTGACCTTTAAATCTGTTGATGTCAGTTGCTATGTTTCCAGTGACTTTGCTGATGATGTAGGCTCTAACGAGGAAAATATTGAAAACCTCATTATAACCTTAATGATCTCATTATGGTCCTTAACATGCTGTGATGTGGCTTTTTCTTCAGATGGCACCATGTCTTGAATGCAGACATCTTGTGCCAATGAATACACCCACTTGCATTGTATGTGAGTCGCCAATAGCTCCACAGCTGCAGCCCCAAACCAACATCTGCATAAAGGTAATTGAGAATAAATATAACAAAATAGCAATTTACCTCCTGCCATGCATTTTTCTAACAGATGACTTCATTACAAATATTTTGATCCAACATGGGTTTATGTAATTACATTAAGACAGCTTTAAGAGTCAGTAGGATTAAAACCACCTTGAATAGAAGTAAACTTTAAAGGTAAACCACATAAGCCTAGGAAGGCGTGCTGAAGAGCACATGAGGTAGCAGTGTCAATGACAGGAATGCATGCACTTGTGTTCAGTAGAGAGATATTTGATGATTCTATGATTTATGGCTTTAGTATTACTAAGCATTTGAAGTTTATATTAAACATGTCCTTACTACTCTGCTTACCTCATTTGATTGTGAGTGCTTAGCACAGATGGCCTGGCAGGACTAGGGCAGTGGGTATAGGGCTGAATAACCACAGCACTTGTAAGAACCAGTCCTCTTCCTCTTATTGTTGTTCACAGTTTTCAAATACCATGTGAAATATATTCTTTCTCTATTTAAAAGGGTAAAGTAATTTGTCAGGCGTGTGGCACAGGAAATCCTCTTCACCATAAACACTGTGTGACTTGTGAAAGCAAACTGCCTGAAATGCAGACGGTAAGGCTTCTTGCATCAATCACGCTAGGGTTAAATCAAATCAAATCAAATCAAAGCCTAACATTCTTTTTCTTCGGAAAACTGAAGTCATATCCCTTTGTGCCTATGTTACAAAAGCAGAGAATCCCTCCCCCAAGCCATATTCAAGCCCAGTACTCCCACAGATGCTCCGTCACAAATGTCCAGTTAATGTGTTTGTGTTCAGATTATTTTCAATTGCAATAGAAAACTTGAGTATACATATCAGGAAGATCATTCTCATTGATTTCAATTATTTTGTGAAAATAAAATATTCTTTTACATTATTTTTCTTATCTCCATTTGCTGCCTCCCCTACGTGCATACAGCTACTATGCTTGTATTTGACTGTGACTCTGCACAGAGGTGAGAAAAGCAACAATAAATGTCCCCCTAAAATTGTTGTGTGTTTCAACTCCCCATTTAGCCTGACGATTTGGTCCCTTAGAAGAATTTTACTTTCACTTCTGAAAGGTCTTGTATGAAAACCTTATGGTACATTTCATTTCTCCAGGTTGTGACAAATACAGAAATGAGAGAAGAATAATGATTTGTTACTTAAAATCTTCCAATTGTAATGGCAACATCCTGAGCTCTAAAACTGTCAGTAAAGGCAAAGGTGTCTTGATAAGACACTGAGGTGTCATTTCAAAGTGAATTTCAGTATGAATCGGTACTTACCTAAGATAAACATACGTTTAGCTGCTTCACTGAGTGTAGATACTAATATGTAGCTGCATAGGTAGTTAGGCATATGACTTGAATGGGGAGACCTGTAGTAGCTAAGAAAGTGAAATGCTTACTACTTAATAGTAATGAGAGTTTTTACTAATAATAGTGATTAATTAGTGATAACCAAAAGTAATTAATGAATAATTAATAATTATCAGTAATGCTGATATTACTATCAATGGGTATTGAATAATTTAAAATATATTTAGACTTGTGCTCTTGTAAATTTTATCTTCCAAACAACCCCCAAAATTACATTGTTAAAATTGCAATGCAGCCCACAGATGAAAACACGGGTATTTCATGTTTGCTTACTTGCTGTTTTGGTGTCTGTAATCTAAATAATTTTCCTCAGTTTCTGCAACCTTATCCATATTTCTGACTTGTAAAGAAAATAAACTGCATAAGCCCTGAGGCAAAACCTAACAAAACATTTTTAAGACATATTTGTCCTAACTAGGATCTATACTCAAACTCTAGAAGTTTTAGCTGAAATATCTCATTTCTTTTTCATACCCATATAAGTTAATTGTAGTAGGAAAGCGAGGTAATATATAACTTGCATGAGGTAAAAGAGTGCAAAAATATATTTATGTAGCAAACACCAAACTGAGAAAAAACTCATTGTCTGAACACACTCTCCCTGCCATACTAGTACAAAAAAAGGTACAAAGAAAAACAGCTGTTGGGTTTGGGATTTGAAAATACGAGTTTATCAGCAGAGAATCCTCCCTCTTAACTTTGAGTGTACTTATACATGGGGCCATAGTAAATATTCAGTGTAAAATGAAAGGAAATATTGATACGGAATATTTTTTTGCTAGCTCTGCTAAAAATTAATTAAAAAACAATCAACACCACATTTTACTGTGGTTTTTGTAATTTAAAAAATTACAGCTTAAATCCAAGTCAGTCTGTTGCTTATTCTAAGTTGAAATAATTCTTTTAGGCTGAACGTTACTATATGTTACTAAAGTAGCTTGCTTTCCTATTGCCCTTATTTGGCTTGTGTACCTTTCTTCATAAGAAGAATTTTCTCCCTAATGTTTGTTTTGGTTTTTTAGCCCATGTTTGGAGGAGACACACCCCCACCTTACCACAACCAGCAAAGAAAGACAATTTCGTGCTCAAAATGCAACCGTGTTAACCAATGTGATGCCCGTTTCTGTGACTGGTGTGGAGCCAAGGCACGTGCTCTTACTGTTTGTGTGGACAAATCTGTTCTTACTCATCTGTGACTTGCAGCAATTTCAAACTTCTCTTTGCAAAACTCTTGTCAGTTGGTACACAGCTTATTATTAGCAAAATACTTGCTTAGAGCACGCAGGATTATGTAAAGAAAAATGGAGGCTTAGATGACATCCTGACCCCACATCAGTCAGTGACTTAAGGGTTTACAGATGTAAACAAATTACCATGGGCCAATGAGCATCAGCTCATTGAATCAGCTGAGATGCAATAGCTATGTATTCTGCCAAAGTAACTTATTTATCAAAGGTTAGTACAGGCTTACCTAATGCAAGTTTTCCCATATCTACTCTGAGATGTGATCACCTATACAGGCAATTACCAAAGATGAGATGGTGCATGCAATATCTTTGGCTGAAGGCCTCATTAACTTCAGTGAAGACAAATACTTAACTACTGCTCAGTACAGCTTTTGGTAGAGTCAATGTAAACAATTTCCCCTGGCGTATATTTGTATAGGTATACTGTTTCAATCTGAGATCACACTTGAGGAGAATTTTTTTTTTTCTGTGAGCTGAGTCCACATAAAATTTGAAACACTCCCCTATATGCATACAGAACCACTGGTCCTTTACTGTACAAAAAAGGGCTTAGGTGTGGGGGGGTGGTGTTAGAATTGAACTGGAAATAATTGCAGTCAATGTTCAGTATCAGAGCACCAGATTAGTAATTACGGGGCTTTGCCAAAGAAAATAAGTATTTTTGAAAGTGTATGTTAAAAAAAAATAACATACCATAGTGCTAGATCTGTCTGAAAGCATAGTGCTGAGATATCTGAAGATTTACTGTCTTTCGTCTGCCACAGTGTGTTAGCAATCTGGTATCCTGGTTAATATTTCAAATCTAATAGCTTTAGGTAGTGCTACTTTGCGTCCTTTTAATTCATGTCACTGCTTTTATCATTCCTCACCCATGCATCCTGTGTCTCTGTAGTGACAAATGTTTCACTGAACTTTGCAGCCTGGACCTCCTCCATCCTACTTTACTTGTCTCAAGTGTGGTACAAGCAACCATCCATACGCTCACTTCTGTGGGTCCTGTGGTGTTTACATAGAGCCCCCATCAAGGGTGGGTTCTCAGAACGGCAGTCTCCTGGATGCTGGGGACTCGCTGGGGTTTTCTGAGGTAAGACACATAGTACTACAAAGCCAGATTTGGACACAGCTAAAAGGCTCACCCACTGCAGGTATGGACTGGCACAACTCCATTCATTTCCTCTTTGAGACAACCTTGGGGCCTGTGAGCATACTGAAGGCAAAAGCAAGGATATGTTTATTCTGAGAACTGCTTTCTGCTGAAAAGTAGCCTTAGCCAAAGGCCTTAATCCAGCCTTATTCTAAATGGCAAAGTGAGAAACAATCAGCTTTTCAAAAGTCTTAGCTCTTTAAGTACTTTTATCTTATTATGTGTGAATTATTTGTGTCCTGCTGATACACAGTATTCTTTCATACATATGTAACAGTTTTTAAAACTGTGTTTTAAGAAAGGCCATGATACTTAGCAAGGCCAGCTTTTGTCCTACAAAAGCATATGTGTCATTCTGCTCACAATCATGAAGAGTTTTGCTTTTGCTTGAATATTTGTGATAAGTTGCATCATTGTTACAGACTGGTAATTAAAACGAAGAATTATTAATGATTCTTCCTGCTAGCTTTTTCATTCCTTTGCACTTTTGTGTACTGTTCCAGATAATTTCTGCTTGTAAGCCATTTAATTATATCTAATTATATTACTTACACTTTTCCTTCCTTTCCACCCCCCACAGGCTAAACGATTTCAAGCTCAAGTTGCCTGGCAGCCTGTTCCTATTTCCTTGCCCAAATCAAGGGCAGAACTAAAAGAAAGAGAAGATAAAGGAACCCAAACCATTGGACTTTTTTACCCATCTAGCAAACTGTTGGAAAAGAAGGAGCTCGAGCTGATTTCACAAAAAGAAAAGCTGGGAAAGATGAGTGATCATAAGCCTCTCCTGACAGCTATTAGTCCTGGAAAAGGTTAGAAGTTCTGATTTTATGTTTTCTAAACAAAGATGTAATACATGACCTTGCTTTTTCTTGAAAAGCTTATAGTCTATGGGATGTGCCATCAGTAGGACACTGATTAACAATTACAAGTCTGTCTTCCCACCAGTCACTTGTAAATGCAGTGCCTTAGAATTCAATCACTGATCTCCATCAATAGCTGAAATAAAGCCTATCAGCAATGTCAAAATTACAGTTACTGATCCCTGTGCAGCCTTACTAATTTGCTAGTAGTTTGCTTTCCTCAGATCCTATAAGATCAGGGGCAGGTGTCCTGTATTCGAATTGGAAACCACAGACCAACCACCTCACCTCCCAGCACCCTCCCCACGCCCCCCAGTGTGAAGTTCAGTTAGAATTGAGATAGCACCTGCTGGGAGTATTGTTAAACAAGACTCTGAGACACAGAGGATCGTAGCTCTTGAAAAATACGATGAGGCTTGTCTATGTGAAGAACTTGTTTGGGGTGCTGTTGTGGAACAAGTTACAGACATTTCAGAAGCAAAATAAACTAAACTAGAGAAAGGGATTCTTAACAGGATTACAAAAAATAGGGTTGGTAGAAACTTTGAGAGCTCTTGCATGCCCCACCTTCCAGCCCCCCAAAGGTATCAGTATATCTACATTGCTCATTGCAGAGACTGTCCATGCACAGATTGCTGTTATCAGTACTGCAGACAACTTTGTTTCACAGTCCCACATACAGGTTTGGTCATTTAGTTCTTTGTGGAATCACTTAATTGTTTCCTGACATGAAATGTTTACAATTTTTAGAGATTTTAATTTTACCATCCTGGGAAAATTTCAGCTTGAGCTTTCTGGATCCCAAACCCTTGAAGACAGTCCATAGTTACCTAATAAATGGCCAAATTTGCAAAACTGTCTTTAATCTCACAGGGCAGTCCAACTGCGCAGCCCAGAGAATGAGTTAATTTTAAATCATTACAGCATCAAACCATGGGTTGGAGGAGCAGTTACTTTTTTTGATCCACTTTCCCATCTCTAGCTCTTTTCTATAACCAGAGGATCAACCCCTCAAGCCCTTATCAGAATTATTTATCTATTGGGTAGAAAAAGTTGCTAATGAATGTCAGGAATTCCTCTTCTGACTCTGTGTATAACTATCTAGATGATGCACTCTTATTTTTAAAATTATCACTGGGGAAATCTGTTTTCCTACTCCCTTGCTCTGAAATGTGGCTGTCTCTTAGACATGACTGTAGGAAACACAACACTTGACTCAACATGTCAGGGAGCTTAATTTAGTCAGAGGTAATAAAGGATTGGCCCATAATAGTGCTGACAAAAAAAAAATAATACTGAACATTCATATATCTCTATCAGAAGTATGACTCTGGACTTGTGAGTGAGAACTCGTTTCACTGGGAAAGGTTGGGAAGAAATTCTAAAGTGCTTTTGAACCATGTTAATTTTTATCCATTTAGCAGAGGTAACTGTTGAAGTTGCACTGGGTAATGTATTCTCCATGAGACCCTGCCAAGAGCTGAGGAAACTATTTCATTCTATAAATCAATAAATGTCTGTTACAGTCAGGTCTTTCATGCTGTTCCCTTTCCTTGATGCTAAGCTGTATACATGGCTTGAAACTACATGTATCAACAAGATCATAAGCTATCACCAAGAAAATCTTGTTTATATATGCCAAATATGTCCATTATTTCTTCAATTCAAATAGTATCAAACATTTGATATTAAAGTTTTCAAATACAAGTGATTAAATAAGGTGGTGGTGGGGTGTTATTATTATTTCTTGACTGTAGCAGCCATTAACTAACGTTCTTTTATTTTGTGAAGATTAAAAACAAGCAAAAAAAACCCAACCAAAACCCAACCAGTTAGGACAGGGGGAAATAACAGCAGTACCAAAACACTAATCCTCTGATGTGTACTGTATTTGTTTTTCTTGCTGTACTTTCAGACTGTTTTGAACAGCAGTCAAGTAATTTACGAGGTAAACTTTACAAAAAAAGCCTCCCCTTTTCTGCTGTAACAAACAGTAAATCAGTGTGATATAGGTGTAATCAACTATTGACAGCATGAATTCAAGTATTCCATCAGTGCTGCCAAAAATCCTTTCATATATCATAAAACATCAAACATGCAAGAATGTGTTCCTGGCCATCTGGATTTTTTGAAATAAAATCTGGGGATCTAGGCTAGTTATCAACCAGTTTGTTGCAAATAATGCTGACTTCTCTGGAGGGATCACTCACCAAGTAGTAGTCTAGCTTAGATTTTTTTTTTTTAATTACTGTTTTCAACTTGTATTAGTTTTGGCATGAGACACCATGGAAGGGAACAATTTATGTTTTTCTGTGGATCCTTCTTTTTATATTTCTTTAAAGCTGCTTAACAAATAAGGCTGTTTCAGTTTGCATAGTTTCTGCCAGTTTGATCTTGGAAGAGTCCTCCAAGCACAAAAATCCTCACGCACTTGCCTTCTCTTGTAAAAGGCAGAGCAGCACTTCTTTTCTGACTTGGCTTCTTTTCACTGTTTTGAGCTTCACTTAACACAAAGGGAAGGATAAGGTCAGAGCAACTTCCTTCTGTAAGTTAAACAAGGTTACCAAGCCTACGCAATTTATTTACAACAAAATAAAATCACGCTCTGTACTTTCCATAAGTATGCTCAAAAATAAAATTAGCCAGATCCCAATAACAATCACTTAAGAATGATGTTTCTTTCTCTGATGAAAACAGAACATTGCTTCAGAGGTACTTGGACAGGAGCTGCAAAAGCTCTAAATGGATTAAGATGAGGTTTTAACCCAGGCACATTCAGCCCCTCATGTTCCATGCCCTGTACCAGCATAAAGGAATGCTGACTCTCTCCCAGAGATCTCAACAGGCAAAAGAGCAG